AATGCTTGCAACTGTCTTTTTTAACATGGCGATGTCCTACGAAGTGACAATTGTCGCCCTCTGCAGAACTTTTGAACTTGTTCTGAGCTGACTCTGGCTTAGATGGTTCTGATACAGTTCTTATAACAACAGTTCTTAGATAGTTCAAAAAGGGTCACCTCCGGGCTAGAAAAAATGTGGTTAGTTTTGACCTGGTTCTAATAAGTATAGTATGGAGCCTTTTCTTTAAATAAGCACGCATACAATTTTGTAAATAAAAATACTTCATTATATGTTTCAAGAGCTATTTGTTTTGAACTAATTTACTTTTTGACGCAAACTGTGCTTTAAATTTAGGAACATAAAGTGTCAATTATTCCTTTATTTTCTAAAACCGTTATTCTTAAAAATAATTTATATTTGTTACGTATAATGGGTATTTCTGGGATACCTATAATTAAAAATCTGAACTAAGTCGTGTCAAAAAATGAGAAAAACGGTGATATATTGAATGATTATTCGTGATAACTCAGCGTTAAATTGCATTAAATTTATTGAAATGTAATACATAGACTTTCCGGCATCTCATAAGAAATATAGAATTTTGAATATTCACAATAGTTTTCATGCTAAATATTTTTCGTAAATTTTTTATTTAAGGATGGCTCATAAGTATTATAACATAAACAAATAAATTCACGTTTCTAACTGTGTTGGAAATTTAGTAGAATTCTAGAAACTGTTATAAAAACTTCAATATTTTAAATCAGAGTTTATAAGTATGCAGTTCTATAGCCCATTAAATTTTAGTATAATTAATCGCGCTGATTTTTTATAACACTTTTTACGCACGCTCTTGAAGGCATTCTCCTATTTAAATATTTTCGTTAATATGCAAGATTACACTTTACTACACTAAAATTTTATGGGCTACAAAACAGAATACTCGAAATATTTATAAAAAATATCTGATTAAAACTTTGAAATTTTGAAGACGGTTTTTAGAGTTCTATAAGTTTGCAGCACAGTTAGGAATTTGAATTTAAATGGTTTATGGAGTATGAGACATAGTACTTAAATAAAAACTAAACGAAAAATATTGAAAATGAAGAACATTGGAAATTAAAAAAATATCAGTGCATAACTACACATTTCGGGGGCTTAGTGATACATTTACGTATGTACATTATCGTTCATATGAATAGCACTCCCATTTCAAAGTGAGATTGTTTACCACTTTTGCAAATTTTTTTACATCTGATTAAAAGGTCAAACATTTTGACGAAAAATCGTTAAATTTAATTTGTTTTGTATAAAGTTTTAAAACACGGTTTATATGATTTTATTCGTATTTTATACATACGTACGTAGATATGTATAAAAATGACATTAATGTACCAATAACGACTTTTTTGGAAATATTTGAGCAGTTGCCCCATAAACTATGTAGAGAATTACATATTAAATAAACGAAAACAGTTTGTTATTACTTTTAGTGTCTAAGAAAATCGAAAAAATATAGTATATTACATTTGTGCATCTTTTGTCAGCTTTCACATGACCAGGATGAGTAACATTGATGACAGCGCAACTAGCAACATATGAGTTTCAACCGTCCAACTCTGCATCCCTTTTTCAGTAGTTCAGAGACAGTTCTGAAATTTGTAGGGCGGAACTAGCGCTTTGCCAGACTGTCCCTAAATTTTGCTGCAGGGTAAAATATGCAAGTAAACTGATACATATGTATGTATATTTACAAGCAGAAGCAATCATCTTAAGAAACGCATGTGCAGAATATGAATTGAATATGCATTCGCACTCCTCCCTCTCGTATTCGCATTAATCCGCAATCAAAAGGATCTCTATACTAAAATGTTGCTTCAAATCTAGAACTGACGATTAAGTAAGTACATACATATGTATGCTAAATGAGACAGATTTTATGCTAAGGTTGGACAAATGTATGCTCATACTTTTATACACATTTACATACATGCATATGTATTTTAACTTGCACATGCATGTGTATAAATCTATTTGAGCATACAAAAAAGCAATAGCACGCAGGAATAATGGAGAACAATGTAAAAATTCATAAATCGAAAGGCGTAATTTTTTCGTCGCCGTTTTTCATAGCCGACGGAATAGTAAATGTACATACAAACGTACATATGTATGAGCGAAAGTATAATTGTTCATACACATACTTAGGTACATCTGCATGAGGGAGTGAGAGTTCACCCACTAAACCTCCTACCACTAGTCCTGATATCTTCGCTGATATCCTTTAATAAGCCCAAAGGACCGTTTCTGTTTGGATGCCTTCTGCAGCTTGACGAATTTGTAATATTTACTTTGCGAGAAATACATATTCGTTAGGGATTCACATACATTTTTTTATTACATTACAACGCTTTTATCAACTTGCAATGTTGTGTGTCCAGAAACTTTCAATGTTGTGGATCCAGAAACTTTCAATGTTGTGTGTCCGACACCATAAAGCTTTGCTTTGAAAAGTTCCTATAAAAAAGCATAGTGCATAGGGCGACATCTGTAGTGAATAGGGCGAGGTATATGACGTCTAGATGTCGCCCTATGTACTACGTTTGCTACAGCGGAAATAGACGACACGCCATTTCTTTAAATAAAATTAATTGGTGCTCGTTTGTATGTACATATGTACATATGTAAATGCATGTGTGTGCACCTTTCTATTAATATCGTTGAATTATTTTAATATCTATTGCAAAATTTTATTCAGACAGTACTAAAAAGTAGAAAATAAATAATATAAAAAAAACTTTTTAATATACAACGCTTTTATAAATGGAGTAAAAATTAGAAAATAATATTTCACAGTCCCATAGAATTTGTTTTGATAACTTTTGATTTTGGAATTTTAGCAAAAGTCATTATAAAAAATCGATGAAATTGAAAATGAAAAGCGTGGGGCGCATGTAATACACTTGAATTGATATGAAAAGTAATATATGTATGAATGTATGTGGGTATATGAATAACGACCGCTTAAAATCGATTTCAAAGTTCTACTTTCGCTGTAGAAATTTTAGGTCTACGTTATGTTTTTCATTTTCAATTTCATAGATTGTTTATAATGACTTTTGCTAAAATTTCAAAATCAAAAGTTATCAAAACAAATTCTATGGGACTGAGAAATATTATTTTCTACTTTTTAGTCCATTTATAAAAGCGTTGTATATTAAAAAGTTTTTTTTATATTATTTATTTTTTGTTTTCTTTTACTCACATTTTGAGTATACAAACTAGTACGCATGCACGAATAAGGGCGACTTGAGGTAGTAATTCTTAATTTTTATAATAATAAGTAAAATGTTCTCAAAGCAGGAGTACACTCGGCGGCTCGGCACTCCCTGCAGTTTGGCGGAATATGTTTGAACAAACTCTTTTACGGATTATACGCAGACAAAGCAAGGATAGTGTTAAAAACGTTAACATAAAACATTTAAAATTTTTTAGTGACATCTATTGTGTTAGTAATGGACCAGATTTAATAGCATTCGCCACATTTTCCTGCAGGGATATGTACATCTCAGGGCTTGCATACAAACTTATACGAATTCGAATAACGGTATTAATGTGTGTTGGAAAAAATCCGTGGAAAGCCGCAAAAATTTATTGTATTATTCGAGAGAAATATTTGCAGAAAAGCTTTTAATGCTGGCCTTGACTTCTCGGCAGCATAACCTAAATTTCGCGCGGTAGACTTGGTGTTCCAAATGTATCCTTAGCAGTTAACTAACCGTGACACGGATATGAAAGCATTGCAGCATTATCAAAAATATGCTCATGCAAGCGTACGTATGGGCATTGTAACCGCATAAATGGGTATGAACTGAAGAGATTCGTACCATATACCTAGTAGAAATAAGAAGGAGTAGAAAGCAATTACAGGAGGCCTTCTCTGGAATGTAGAGGGCTTTACCGTCTGCTTGATTTCTTTAATTATTTTTCTATATGAAACGGACCTAATTGCAAGGCATTTCTTTTCCGCTTTTGGGAGAACAGCTCATAGAAGGGCTTATTTTTTAATAACAAAAAATAAATTTAATATGTTTAGTCTAACGGGATTCGAACCCGGGCATTCCTGAAAGCTAACAAATAATAGCAAACATCTCTGCGCATCAAATTTGTTGAATCAAATTTGTTACAATCGTTTAAACAAACTTATTTTCAAACTTGTGTAGCTCATGTCCGTTTATTAAAGGAAGGCCTTGACAAAATTTCTTCTGGGTAAGTAATGCAAATATTTGGGAAATTCGTTTAGCATTCATATTTATTATTTATTAGATATAGTAGGGGGTTTCGCCTAAACTCGTAAATGCCTCGTTACCACGTAACCCTCGTAAGCTTAATTAATGTTATATGGAAATTCTGTTTATTTAAAAGGCTTACTCGATTACGAGGCCTTTTCGAGTTTAGACGAAACCCCCTACTATATAGGGTTTGGCCGACCTTCTTATCCGATTTGTGTCGTCGCACAAAGGGGACCTAAGATTTTCGCCGACTTCGAACGGCGATTGTATTTTTATGAGAAGCTGTTTTTGATTGCAGAAACCCACTCGGAGGTTTGGCATTGCCTACCGAGGGGCGACCGCTGTTAAGAAAAAATCTTTTTTCAAAATTTGTTTTCTGGCGATGTTGTTTTGACCAGGGCTTGAACCCACGCGCACTGCTTACACTACAGATGAAAACCCATAGTATAAATAAATGTTTTAAATCATATAAATTTGAACATATAGAGCCAACATTTGAATTCCTTTCAAAATACACACGAGTACATTCTACACACACATTTAGGTACATCACCTTTCTTTAGTGTTATCTACTGCACACTCGAGTATTAAACCCTATCTCTTTAGCATCTGCCTCCATCACCATCATCCATACCTTCGTTGCAACTCAAAAGCAGAAGCAAAATGAGGTAAAGCCAGCAACTTTAAGTTGCCATGTAAGACCTATTCGAGTTTAGTCTTTGCACTGTGGCGCATCCAGTCGTTTGCAGCAAGCGAGATGTCGGCAAATTACTGGCTAACCATTCTGGCTGCAGTATTTTGCACACAGGTGAGGTAGAACATAGAGGAAGCAAATCTTTGCATTTTATAGACTATTACTTCATCCACACACACACACACACAGTTCTTTATAGCTACCGGCGTTCAAGCTGCACAGCCCGCCAATCAAGATTTGCAAACTTTTATCGCTCGTGTCGAACGTCTGATTCTCGATACCACCGATCGCGCGCTGATTATCACCCGAAATGTTTATCTGCACATCAGCAAGGAGATGCCGCCAACGCTGCTGCAAGCTGCCAACGAAACTCTGCAAACCTATATTTGGCAGGTGAATGAAGCATTGAGTGGCACGTCAAATACCTACTTCACCACCAAACGCAAATTGCTGAGACAATTCAAGTTGAACAATCTACAAATTGAAATGCTGCGCCGCCAATTGACTCCGCTGCAACCGGAATTCAAGTTTCAACTGATTTCCGATGAGTTTTCCATTTCCAAAAAGAATGTTACCGAATTTGATAACTTGTATTTGCGGTTCATGAGCGAATTTGCGGCTGCTTCCCAACAGCTGTGGGACACACTGTCCGAGCCTACTGTGGAGGAGCAGCAGGAGCTGCTGGAATTGCTGGATGAGATTTCAAAAGAGCAGCAGCTACGTGAGAAGGATAAATTATATGATGAATTTATTGCCATGTTTCTATTTAAAATCGAAGAGAATGAACTGGAGGCTAAGGAATTGTACTGAAGTTCAATAAACCAACTTAAACAATTTTTAATTCTTTTCAATTTCTGAAATAAAAAGGGAAGAGAGGTTTTATTTCGCTACTAAATATGAATAAGGAGTAATTTGGTTTTTCTTTAAAAGCTGTTTTTTTT